ACACCACACACAGTGAAGAAAAAAACTACGAAAAATGCCCGGCTAACTTTTAGTTAATTATTTTAGTAGAGCGGGGGAGTTCACCATGTTTGGCCAGGCTAGGGTCTCGAACTACACTGAACCTACAGTGATCCACCTGCCCTAGACTACACCAGAAAGATGTGCATTAGAGCGAGGTGAGCCCTCTGAGCCCGCCTTTTTATTTTTTTTCCAAAGACAGAGTCACTCTGGGTTGCCCAGGCTGGTGATGCCCAGTGACACAATCTGACCACTGCCAACCTCCATCTCCCAATTATCAAAGTGATTCTCCTGCCCTCAGAACCCTCCAGAGTAGCTGGAATTTACAGCGGCTGACACCATTCCTGGCATAATTTTGGTCAATATCTTAATAGGATGGGTTATCACAGGAATTTTCACCATGATTGAAGTGGAGGCTGCCGATTCTCAATACTCTCAACCTCAGGTAATCCACCCACCAACAGCCTCCCAATCAGTGCTGGGAATTACAGGTGTGAGTACACATGTGGCTCGGCCACAGAAGTACGACCCACCACACCACCCAGGAGTTCAGCTCACATTAGCAAACATTTAATAAAGTGTTGTGATAAAACCATCACACCACCCATTCTCCCAGAACTTAGTTTATCATCATACCCAAAAACTGCAAAAATCAGTAGCCATATAAATTGTAACTCAACATTCAATCCCTCACCACACAATCAAATAGATGACAACCAACCATTCTATCTTATACATGTTAACTAATGAAATGTTGACTTACTACTACGGTAATACATCATTCAAGTAGGAAATCATTACATGGAATATTTTGCCCATTTTGTTACTGGTCTAATAATAGTTTTATTATCAAAGTTTAAATATTCCAATCAAATGAAACACAATTATATTCAATAATGAGAAGGTTTAACCAGTAAAAAAATAATTTATCTGCTTAGGATCGTCATCCCAAAGAGTAAGTTAAAACTTAGCTTAACTCAAGGGTGGCTCAAAAAAAAATAGCCTGTCTCCCAGCACATATTGGAAGCAAGGTGGCAGATCATGAGAATTGGGAGATCAAGACCATACCTGCATAAAACACCGGTGAAAACTCACATCTCTACCTACAGAATACACACTACAAAAAAAATTAGCCTAGGGAATAAAACGTGGATAGTGAGGCACTAGCCTGTCCAGACAATACTCACAGAGACTGAGGGCAGGAGAATGGTGTACACCCGGGAGACAGGAAGCTATGCAGTGAAGTAGAAATCCAATGGCCACATAAGAATACTCCAGCGCCATGGGCAAACAAAGAGCGAGACTTCAATCTCAAAAAAAAAAAAAAAAATGCTTGTAACTAATAATTTTGGGATTTGATCAAGATCACCCTGCTGTTGGGGAGGGAAGAAGAAAGGCAGTAAAGGAGAGTGAACTGTCTTAGAACAGGCACGGTGGAAGGGACAGCTGCAAGAGCCAAGCTGAATTGTGAAAGAATGTATTCAGTTCTGAACTCCACTGTCGTAAGAGGAAGGTCAAAATCTGTCGCACATACAAAAGTTACTAGCCAGGATGTGGAAGAGATTGGTCTTATTTAAGAACTGTGCACCAAAGATATTCAGAGATGGGCATATGTCATCCCACCTGGATGATTTAGCATTGAGAACTCTATACCATGCTTGATTTTTATTGTTTGTTTGTTTTTGGCACTTACATATAAGCTATAGAGTGTTAAACTTTTTACACATTTTTTTCCGATAATGATAGATCCACCTGGGTTGAATATGTTGTAAACGCTTTGTTTCTAGGATACATTATTTGTGTTCAACTCAGACACAGAAAAAGTTCTGAATTGTCTTTTTTTTTTTTTGGAGATGGAGTCTACTCTGTCACCCAGGCTGGAGTGCAGTAGCGCAATCTGAATTGTCTTTTAACTATAACATACAAAAGCCTAGTATACGTTTTTCTTTTTGTTTTTTGTTTTTGTTTGTTTGAGATGAAATCTCGCTCTGTCACCCACTCTGGAGCTGTGGCGTGATCTCAGCTCACTGCAACCTCCACCTCCTGGGTTCAAGCCTTTCTCCTGCCTCAGCCTCCAGAGTAGCTGGGATTACAGGCATCCGCCACCACACCGAACTAATTTTGTATTTTTATTAGAGACAGGGTTTCTCCATATTGGTCAGTCTGGTCTTGAACTCCTGACCTCAGGTGATCTGCCCGCCTCGGTCTTCCAAAGTGCTGGGATTGCAGGTGTGAGCCACTGCCCCTGGCCCTAGGACTCTTAACTTTAGGAATCCTGAAAGTTAGAACATTTAGCTGATAAAATATTGTAGAAAAAGGAAATTGCGTCTGATACATTTCTGCTAGTGTACATCATATGATTGACTGTTTGGAGGAGGTGGGGGATGTTACAGAGGTTATCACGTTACACGTCCATTGCATCCAAGTAGGTTGTTCTGTTGCCCTCATCTGTATTCAGGAGCCCAGACTAGCAGGGCTCCCACTGGATCTGGAGGTTGCACACCACCATGGTAAGGCCGTTGGGGGAGGTCTCTCACATTTGACCTCAGCCCACACTCTTTTATTTTTGATTCATTCAATTTTTTTTTTTTTCTGAGACAGTGTCTCTCTCTCTCTCTGTTGCCCAGGCTGGAGTGCAGTGGCACGATCTCAGCTTTCTGCAACCTCCTTCTCCCGGGTTCAAGTGATCCTCCTGCCTCAACCTACCCTAGTAGCTGGGATTACAGGCACACACAACCATGCCCAGCTAATTTTTGTATTTTTAGTAGAGACAGGGTTTCATGACGTTGGCCAGGCTGGTCTCAAACTCCTGACCTCAGGTGATCCACCCACCTCAGCCTCCCAAAGTGCTGGGATTAAAGGCATGAGCCACTGCGCCCGGCCCTGATTCATTCAATTTTGATTATATTTCAGATTAACACAAACCCTGTAAAGTCTCCAGCCTTTCTGTGAGGAATAACTTGTTTTTCTTAACTCAGAACCTTTTAAGAGAAGTCAGTCAGTCAGGGGGGAAGTCTCTCTTTCACTGTTAAGAATTGTGGCTAATCGGCCGGGCACGGTGGCTTACCCCTGTAATCTTAGCACTTTGGGAGGCCAAAGCGGGTAGATTGCCTGAGCTCAGGAGTTCGAGACCAGCCTGGGCAACAACGGTGAAACCCTGTCTCTACTAAAATACAAAAAATTAGCCGGGCATGGCAGTGTGTGCTTGTAGTCCCAGCTACTCGGGAGGCTGAGGCAGGAGAATCGCTTAAACCCAGAAGGCAGAGGTTTCAGTGAGCAGAGATCACACCACTGCACTCCAGCCTGGGCAACAGAGCAAGACTCCATCTCAAAAAAGAAAAAGAAAAGAAAGAAAAAAAGAATTGTGGCTAATCGAGGAAAAGGAACATGGGCGAAACAGCGGGCTTGGCTCTCCACCAGGGTATTTTGGGGCCTCCAACTAGGGGCACCTTAGAGCCACAGGTGGGACAAAGCAAAATCCCACCAACCCCTCTGGGGCTGGAGCCAGTAAGGTTTCATTGCATTAGCTCACCAGAGACCTTTGGGATCTGTAGGAGCCTGTATGTCACTGACCTGTGCTGTCACTTTACAGAGGCTCCGGTAGCCTTGGAAAAGCTTATGGAAGTCATTCCATACACATGCCAGAATCTGTCGGTGACAGCTCTATTGGCTTTTTTCACAGAATGGGATGGATAACAGGTGTCTACAGTCTCATGAAGAATGGAAGCTTCTGCTCATGGAGTACCCTGACCTGACTGGGTGTCTTGCTGGGTGTTTTGTGTGGTTTCCATGTATTCTTTCACCCTCTTGTAAGGTTGCTGTCAGCATCATGTAGTTAGTAGATGAGAGTCCTTGGGTTGGAACAGAACTCAGTCACTCTTGCTTTTCCATGAAGTGTTAACTTGAAATAATATTTTAAATAGCATCTATTCTCACACCTCAGACATTCAGCCTGAGAACTGGAAAAGCAGAGAATAGTAACATTTGGGAGAAAGGATCAAATATAACTACAGATAAATATTTTCTTGGCCAGGCGCAGTGGCTCATGCCTTTAATCCCAGCACTTTGGAAGGCCGAGGTGAGCAGATCACTTGAGGTCAGGAGTTTGAGACCAGCCTGGCCAACATGGTGAAACCCTGTCTCTACTAAAAATATAAAAATTAGGCCAGGCACGGTGGATCACGCTTGTAGTCCCAGCACTTTGGGAGGCCGAGGCAGGTGGATGACCTGAGGTCAGGAGTTCAAGACCAGCCTGGCCAACATGATGAAACCCCATCTCTACTAAAAATACAAAAATTAGCCAGGCATAGTGGTGGACGCCTGTAATCCCAGATACTTGGGAGGCTGAGGCAGGAGAGTTGCTTGATCCCGGGAGACGGAAGTTGCAGTGAGCTGACGTGGCGCACAATCTTGGCTCACTGCAACCTCTGCCTCTAAAAAAATTTTTTTATACCTCTGTTACTGTCACAACTTTAAAAAGTTGTCAGGCTCAAATTCTAGATAAGGAGAAATTTTTGTTGTTTACACTTAATTAAATTTGAGGTTTCTTTCAGTGCCCGATCCTTGTGACTGCTAGCTAATTTCCCAAAGTCATAAAGAAGTCTCTCAAAAATAACTAATATTCAGCCAGGCATGGTGGCTCACGCCTGTAATCCTAGCGCTTTGGGAGGCGGAGGCGGGCGGATCACTTGAGGTCAGGAGTTCAAGACCAGCCTGGCCAACATGGTGAAATGCTGTCTGTAGTAGAAATACAAAAATTAGCCAGGCGTGGTGGCGGGTGCCTGTAATTCCACCTACTTAGGAGGCTGAGACAAGAATGGCTTGAACCTGGGAGGTGGAGGTTGCAGTGAGCCAAGCTTTCGCCATTGCACTTCAGTCTGGGGAACAGAGCAAGACTCTGTCTCAAAAAAAAAAAAAAGAATAATATTCATGAACTCAGAATCTTCTGAATCCCCCTTGACCGCTGGATTTTCTTACTGTAGGAGGATCTCCTGATGCAGTCCAGTGAAGAACTTTTACATGTGGACCTTCCCGAAGATTTTCTAAGGAGCAAAGGTATTTATTTCTCTCAAATCTCTTCCTTTATCCACTTATCCGTTTCTGTTTTGCATTGAGAATATAAGGGTTATAAGTCCCTGCCTTGTAAGGTGTACTAAATCATAGAAACTGTAACTTCGCCATAGATTGTATCTTAGTATTGCCCTTGGACATACTTGCACAGTGCACTGCAGCCTCAACCTCCTGGGCTCAAGCAATCTTCATACCACGGCTTCCCAAGTAGCTGGGACTATAGGCGCGAGCCACCATGCGTGACTAATTTTCTATTTTGTTTGTTTTTTTTTGTAGAGGCAAGGTCTCCCCATGTTAACTAGGCTGGTCTCGAACTCCTGGGCTCAAGTGATCCTTCTGCCTCTGCCCCACAAAGTGCAGGATTACAGGCATGAGCCACCACACCCAGCAAGTCCCTTTCTTTTGAGTGTGTTGAACCTTTATTGAATTTTATATCATCAAATATACTATATATTTGCCTGTTTAGAAGGGTTAACTGGGACAGAGGAGACATGTACCCACTATAGTTCAGCATACAGTAGTGTATCCTGTTCTTGTTCTGTGGGGTCAGGGATGAGAGAAAATGTTTACTCCAGGTCACCTTGAGCATTTTCAAGGCAGTTTCATTACCTCTTTTTGCTTCTCAAAACAGTGGTTGGGTATAGAGATCTGAGATTATTACTTTCAGATTGGTTGGTTGATTGAGGAGAAAGCTGAGGTCCAAAAGAGAGTAGCTGAGGTAAGATTCTCCTCTTCTCACCCCAAGGCTAAAAATAATCTTAGATTACTTTAGAGAGGACTATGTGTCAATTAAGGCTAATCTAGAATCATCAGGCTGGGCACAGTGGCTCACGTCTGTAATCCCAGCACTTTGGGAGGCCAGGGTGGGAGGATTGCCTAAGTCCAAGAGTTTGAGACTAGCCTGGGCAACATGGCAAAACACCTTATCTACGAAAAATGCAAAAATTAGCATGGCAGCACACACACCTGTGGTCCCAGCTACTCGGGAGGCTAAGGCAGAAGTATCACTTGGGCCCTGGGAGGTTGAAGTTGTAGTGAGCCATGATCACACCACTGTACTCCAGCCCGGGCAACAGAGCAAGACCCTGTCTCACTAAATAAATAAATAATATAATATAATCAGAACCTCACGAAGAGAAGATAAAGTGAATACGCTAAGTCAGTGGTCCCCGACATTTTTGGAGTCAGGGCCCTGTTTCATGGAGGACAGTTTTTCCACGGATCCGGCGGGGTAGATGCTTTCAGAATGATTCAAGTGCATTGCATTTATTGTGCACTTTGTTTCTATTATTTCATTGTAATATATAATGAAATAATTATACAATTTCCCATAATGTAGAATCAGTGGGAGGCTGAGCTTGTTTTCCTGCAACTAGGTGGTCCCCTCTGGGGTTGATGGGAGACCGTGACAGATTATCAGGCATTAGATTCTCATAAGGAGCTCGCAACCTAGATGCCTCACTTGTGCAGTTCCCAATAGGGTCCACACTCCTGTGAGAATATAATGCTGCTCTTTATCTGACAGGAGGCAGAGCTCAGGCAGTAATGCAAGCATGCGGAGCACCTGTACATGCAGATGAAGCTTTGCTCACTTGGCTGCCGCTCACCTCCTGCTGTGCAGCCCAATTTCTAACAGACCAAGGATGGGTACTGGTCCATGGCCCAAGGTTGAGGACCTCTGCATTAAATTATATGAACATTTTGTTACTGTGATAAAACATCAGATTTGACTCTTAGCTTCTTGGCAGCCTGGACAGAAAAGGAAGCACAGATCTTTCTTATGAAAAAGGACATTTGTCCCAGTTTATCACCCTGCTTCCTGCTGCTACAGATTTCCTCTGTGGCTCAAAGGCTTGACTATCCAGTGTAGATTAAAGGACGTTTCTCCGAAGATGAGAAATGTTGTTTTGTACATAAATCTCACCCTGTTCTTGTCTTACTAGGGATGCAGTTTAGTGACCCCCTAACCCCACCCTCAAGATCTTTTTAGTGGGGCTCCAGTGTTGCTATATTCTGTCTTTAGTATATTTTCACCCACATCTTACCACAGAATTTACTGTCTGTTGAACTACACTTTCACTTAACCACTGAACTGACCTTTTAAACAGGAGAACCAGAGTTATTTTCTGCTTGGAAATCTGCATTATCAAAATTACCTGGCTGCTCTCCACCTAAAAAGCTGGTCCACATTGGACCTAGATAAGATGAACTCTCCTGAGTAATGTTTGCAGCTAAATTACTCTGTGACACTTTTCTTCATCTTCTAATATCATGCTTATTTAATGACTTAAATTGGTAAAATATTTGATATTTTTTCCTCCTGCAAACCCATGGATAAGGGTTTCAGTTTGGTATAGGGGAACTTGAAATCAGCAGCTCTACTAGAGTTTTTAGCAGCAATGGCCTAGTTCATTCTGTCCCCCAGGAACCTTCCAGGGTATTCCTGTGTTGCACGTGAGGAAGCAAGCTCAGCTGTCCAAAGTCACAGCCAGTCATAGCAAGCCAGAGAAGAAGGTTCTATGGAGACAGGCCTGTGAAGATGTTGAGTCCTGAGAGCGTGAGCAATATATGCTATCACCATGGATTTGATTTAAATAGACCCACATGCTCTTCTGTAGTGTGACCAGCATTTCAGCTTGCTCTGCCAAGGTCAGGCATCTGCTACTTTATCTTTGCTATGGAATTAAGAACTGAACGATGCCAGCCGGCTGGGCGCAGTGGATCCCAGCACTTTGGGAGGCCGAGGCGGGCAGATCATGAGGTCAGAAGATCGAGACCATCTTTGCTAACACAGTGAAACCCCATCTCTACTAAAAAAAAAAAAAAAATAGCTGGGCGTGGTGGCAGGCGCCCATAGTCCCAGCTACTCGGGAGGCTGAGGCGAGAGAATGGTGTAAACCTGGCAGGCGGAGATTGCGCCACTGCACTCCAGCCTGGGGCGACAGAGCAAGACTCCGTCTCAAAAAAAAAAGAAGACCTGAATGATGCCTCTTAGAAATCAAACTTGTCTCCAGGGCTCCAGCTGCAAAAATCTTCGCTCTGCCCCAGATTTAAGTTTTCTTTCTTTTTTGTTTTTTTCTTTCTGTCACCTATATGTAATAGATGATTGTAAGCTATAGGCACAATCATATGTCTGCTGCCTCTCAATTAGGTAAAATGGCAACAGATTGAACATTTTAAAAGGACTTCTGTAATAACCAGAAGGAGCCTTTAATTGGTAGGATGCAGTTTTGCCTATCATTTCTTATTTCTTGATTGCTGTAGGGCAGACACATGAGAAGTGGGCATGGGGGAGCAGTGGTGGGAGTATTTGAGTTGAGTGGCCATCTCACAGGGGAGATCTTCTCCATCAGGCATTCTTGCTGGTTCCTCGCCCTTTCTGCTGTCCTGACTTGCCTCTTTCAACATAATTTTCTGTTAATTTTACAAAACTGATGTCACCAAGTTTATTTGTTTTATCTTGTTTTTCAGAGAGTTCCCTGTAACGGGGCTTGTCTGGGAAGTTTATGTGTAAGAAAGGTGAAATGATATCAGGAACAATGGCAATATTAGTTCCTACTCATTATTGTGAGACTTGCATTCCCACAGTAGTGATTTCCACGAAGACTTATTTAGGAGGGTCACCAGAAATTGGAAGAGCATTGAGGAAATACATTTTGAGGAAGAGGTGAAAGTAGTCAAGGAGGGAAAATCTACCTTATATAATTTGGAGAACTAGATGTTTATTTTTATTTTATTTTATTTATTTTGAGATGGGTTCTCACTCTGTCACCCAGGCTGCAGTGCAGTGGCACGATCTTTGGCTCACTGCAACCTTCGCCTCCAGGGTTCAAGTGATTCTCCTGCCTCATCCTCCCAGGTAGCTGGGATTACAGGTGCCTGCCACCATGCACGGCTGATTTTTTTGTATTTTTAGTAGAGACAAGGTTTCACCATGTTGGCCAGGCTGGTCTTAAACTCCTGATCTCAAGTGATCTGCCCACCTGTGCCCCCGAAAGTGCTAGGATTACAGGCGTGAGCCACCACGCCCAGCTGTGTACTTACAAATTCTTGAATCAGGTAGCACCGTCTGCTGTAACAGGGAAAGTGGGCTAGTTTCACAATGATAAGTATTGTGTGTGGATTCAGGATTTTGAGGCTGCCTTTTGTAAGTGGTAACTGAAAACCTGTGGCTTGCAGTATATATTTGTTAATCTAGTATTATTTGCTGACTCCAAACATGTTAAAATGCTGTGTCTAGCCTAGTTATTCCATTTTAACTATTCTCAGGTTCAGTAAAATAAAAAAACAGAGCAATGGAAAGGCACCTTTTATATGGCAGGCACTGTCCCACATGACATCTTACATGCATTATTTAGTGTAATCCTCAGTGTAGCACTGAGGTAATTGTACTTTCCCCACCTTCTACAATAGAAGAAACCAAGACTTAGAGTTAAGTATCACAGAGCTGCAGGGCACAGTGACTCACACCCATAATCCCAGCACTTTGAGAGGCTGAGGCGGGAGGATTGCTTGAGCTCAGGAGTTCAGGGCCAGCCTGGGCAACATAACTAACCCTGTTTCTACAAAAAATACAAAAATTAGCCGGACGCGGTGGCGTGTGCCTGTAGTCCCAGGTCCTTGGGAGGCTGAGGTGAGAGGATCGCTTGAGCCCAGGAGTTGGAGGCTGCAGTGAGCCATAATGGTACCACTATACTCCAGCCTAGGCAACAAAGCGAGACACTGTCTCAAAAAAAAAAAAAAAGTATCACAGAGCCATGATTGAAGCTGAGCTGGTCTGGCTTCACAGTCAGGGCTCTTTCTCATAGTAATTGCTGCTCTCAGGACCTACTGAGAAATGGATAGGGAAGCCCTAGAAACTCAGTATTAATAGCATTTGTTTATTTGACCTAACTGTATTCGTTCATTAATTTTATGAACATTCATTAAGTGCTCTTGTGCTTTTATATACCAGGCATTATGCCGAACCATAAGAAAGAGAACAAAACAAGATCCTTACCCTCATGGAGTTTATATTCTAGTAAGAAATAGATTTTAGATTTTTTGTTCTTTTTTTTTTTTGGAACAAGGTCGCTTACTCTGTTACCCAGGCTGGAGTGCAGCAGTGCGTTCATAGCTCGTTGCAGCCTTGCCCTCCTGGGCTCAAGCATCCTCCTGCCTCAGCCTCCCAAGTAATTGGGACTAAAGGCACTCACCACTATGCTCAGCTGATTTTTTTTTTCTTTTACATTTTTTGTACAGACAGAGTCTCCCTGTGTTGCCCAGGCTGGTTCAAACTTCTGGGCTCAAGCATTCCTCCTGCCTCAGCCTCCCAAAGTGCTGGGATCACTGTTGTGAGGTACTGCACCTAACCAGGAATTAGATTTGTTTTGTTTTGGTTTTTGGTTTTTGAGACAGAGTCTTGCACTGTCACCTAGGCTGGAGTGTAGTGGCATGATCTTGCTCACTGCAACCTCCGCCTCCTGGGTTCAAGCGATTCCGCTGCTTCAGCCTCCCCAGTAGCTGGGATTATAGGCATATGCCACCAGGCCCAGCTAATTTTTGTATTTTCAGTAGAGACGGGTTTTTGTTACGTTGGCCAGGCTAGTCTTGAACTCCTAACCTCAAGCGATCCACCCACTTCGGCCTCCCAAAATGCTGGGATTACAGGCATGAGCCACCACGCCTGGCGGATCTTTAAATAGATTTGCATTTTGCTTTTTCTGTTTAATACGGGTGTCCTGTTTTTTATATATCTATAAAATCATGTGTATATATACCCATACATATACACATGTGTATAGTGTGCTAGTCATGGTTCTCTTAGAGGAACAAAACCAATAGATCACCTGAGGTTGAGAGTTTGAGACCAGCCTGGCCAACATGGTGAAACCCCGTCTCTAGTAAAAATTTTAAAAAAGTTATCTGGGCGGGCCGGGCGTGGTGGCTCATGCCTGTAATCCCAGCACTTTGGGAGACCGAGGCAGGCGGATCACCTGAGGTCAGGAGTTCGAGACCAGCCTGGCCAACATGGCAAAACCCCATCTCTACTTAAAGTACAAAAATTAGCCAGGCATGGTGGCGGGCACCTGTAATCCCGGCTACTCAGGAGGCTGAGGCAGGAGAATTGCTTGAACCCAGGAGGAGGAGGTTGCAGCGAGCTAATATCATTCCACTGTACTCCAGCCTGGGCGACAAGAGCGAGACTCCATCTCAAAAAGAAAAAAATTAGCTGGGTGTGGTTGCAGGCACCTAGAATCCCAGCTACTCAGGAGGCTGAGGCAGGAAAATCGCTTGAGCTGGGAGGCGGAGGTTGCAGTGAGCCGAGATTGCACTACTGTACTCCAGCATGGGCAACAGAGCAAGACTCTATCTGAAAAAAATAAATAAGTAGATAAATAAATAAAGTTTTATGTATAGTTGTTTTTTCCAGGGACTAATTTTATCTATGACATCTAGTTTCAAGTAATGAAAAAATGGTCATCTAGTAAAATAAGCTGTTACTGTGAGTCTGCTTTATTAATGTTTTAAAATGAAAGCCTCTTAAGACTGAATGAGAGTACAACACAGGGACATGTTTCTGTGTTGTATTCAGTTGTCCAGCATTGACTTGTGAACTCTGTATAACTTTCAGCAAGAGGCATATGTTGAAAATTACCTGTTTCTGCCAGATATGATTTTGGCCCTCTGTTGTATTTTCAGAGAAGAACAAAATCAATGATATAGCATGCTAACTTTCCAGTTTTCTTTTCGAGTTGGGTCTTCTTGTTGCCCTTGGTAGCATAGCGTAATAAAATGCATGAAGGTAGACCAAATGATTTTTAATTACTGCATACTAATTTGGATTTATTTCTCTTGTTCAGAAGGAAATGTACAGATTACAGCTGAAACTCTGCTAAAATCCACTGAAGTACAAGGTATGAAGGTCAATGGGACTAAGACGGATAATAATGAAGGACACAAAAATGGCAATGTGAGTAAAGATCTCTCAGCTGGATGCAGCGAATTCCCAGAAGTAGACAAAATCATGAACAGTGATGAGGTTTCAGAAACCAGCACATTAGTTACCCCAGAACCTTTAACCTTTGTGGACCCTGTATTAACAGAAGCAGCTCCTAAAGAAAAAGAATGTGAAGAATTAAAAAGTTGTCCTTGGACGTCATTACCAGGGAGCAGTGCCATTTCTAATGTGGACAATGGGAAGGAAGAGCTGTGTAAACTAAACCTTGTCTGTGAAGCAGATGACAATCACCAAAAGATTCATGGCCACCATAATGAACACCCCAGTTCTACACATGATAGTCCCACAGCCACAAGCCCCTTGAAAGAAAATTCTGGAGTTTCATGTTTCACATCAGACTTGTCTGGTCCAGAGTCCAGAACAATATCTTTAGAAAACTGTGGTTTTGAAGGTGGTGGTTTGCTAAAAAGATCTGCTGAAAAGACAGACAATTGTTATTTTTATAGGGGGGACGATCAAGGGAAGAACTTGGCTTCTAGAGAAGAAAATGAAGAACAGCTTTTGATTCCTAGGAGTGAGAGAGGTGGACCTTTTCTTATTAATGCCAGGGAACCAGAAAAGGAGATTAGTGGTGGTGGTTCTGGTGAAAAAGAGCCTGTTGTTTCCCCAAAGGAAAATATCCACAATGACTGTTGCATTCAAGACAGTCTCCATACAGGGAGCTCTAGTTCATTAATGCCCAATTCTTTTACTGAAGCCACAGAAGTAATGTTAAATAAAAGTGATTTGAAAATTACTTTACACATTCAAGGTAACTTGACAAACCTTGAGGACCATAAAGACACTTCTACTAATATGAGCCATCCAGGTGGACACTCTGAAGAAAGCAGTTTTTCCTCCTTGATGCAGATTGAAGAGGCAGAACAGACAACCCCCATAGAGTCCAGTATATTAAGTAAATCTTTTTACACTGAAGACTGTAACTCCTTAGTCAGCATCCAGAGAAATCTGGAAAGCAACACCCAGTTAAATGAAGCATCATGTAATGATTTTCTGTTTGAAAGAAAATCCATTGTGAGTTTAACGCCAGAGGATCAGATAAGTCCTGTAAGTGAGGTATTAAAACCCAAGAAAGGTACTGCGCTGTTGCCACCATCCCCAGAATTTCATCACAGACCTGAATCAGAAAAAGTTATACAGACTTCACATGATGATATTCCACTTTTAGATGAACAGAGCATAGCCTGTGAGATGAATGAACTTTCTTGTACCAATGAACTGGTTGTAAACAAAGTAGAAAGTGAATGTGTTTTAAATCAACAAGTGTCCCTTAATTCTCAAGACCATGCAAAGTTGCCAACTGACTCTCTACTTCATTTAAACAAAGAGATGCCTTTAGCAACAGGCAGAGATGCCCATCAGAGCCATCATCCTCCATTAGAGGGTGGAGCAGATGTCGTTGCTGATATACAAACCATTCCCGTTGAGACAAAAGTGAAAGACATCTCTCCACCAGGTAACCAAACCTGTGGTGCCTCTTCAAACAGTCCCACCTTAAACATCAAACCAGGAAGCCTAGAGAGAAAAAAAGAAATGGCTGATTCAGGAACAAAAGCTCTACATTCCAGGCTTCGCTCAAATAAGAGAGAAGCAGCTGGCTTTCCTCAAGTGGCCTCTGTCATAGAATGTCACAGTGTTCAATCTCAGGATATCTCTAACTGTCATTGTGTAAGAAAAAATGCATCCGAAGAAAACATGTGTTCTGCTTGTGCTGCTTTCAAGTCCAGCAAAATCAGCCTGCAAGCTGATAACTCTTTGATAACAAAATATGAAAATGCATTTCAGCACCGTGCTCACCAATGCCAAGGAACAGGACACTCTGTGGAAAAAAGCAGCTGTAAAGTGAGTTATACATCAGGGGAAAGGGAACTTGATGGGAGAGAAACGAATGGCAGCCTTCCAGGAGATAAGATCAGAAACAAAATGACAGCATGCTTGTTAAATAGTGGCATTTCAAACAAAATCATTCACACCTCCAGTAACATCAAACTCAGTGAGGAAGGGCTGGAAGGAAAGGAGCAGGATGTATCCAAAGAAACTGTATTTTGTAAGTATAACATCTCTGATCATGCTATACGAGAACTAAACCAGACTGTAAACATTCCAAGTCCTGAAAAAGTGTTGGACCAGTCTCCTACTGTTATGTTTTCCAGTTTTAAAAACGTAAAAGCAGTTGAAACACTCGATCAGAAGGCAGATGAAGTTCTTGATTGTCAGAGTAACCAAAACAGACCAGATGAATGCAAAAGTGAAGGTCAGTCAGCCAAGGAGATGCTAGGTAGTGACCACAGAGAGACTGTCACCGAGCCTCACGGGGAGGTAAACCACAACCAAAAGGATCTGCTGGTCAGCTCAGGCAGTAATAACTCACTACCTTGTGGTAGTCCAAAGAAAGGCAATTTGAAAGGAGCCTTTGTCAAGATGTCTGGTTGTGATGAGTCCACAGAAAGTGTGGTAGACATCGTCTACACAGACTGTAGTAATAAGCTTACAGAAGGTGTGCTGGATGTGAAGGCATCTAATCCACTGGATTGTGGTGCAAGGCAAGAGAAACTGGCATTCCAAGAGGACTCAAGGAGTACCTTGTCTCAGAGAGAACTGGATGCTGCACATACAGGAACAACTGGCCAGGACTCAGATTTCCCAGTTACTGCTGCTTCTACAGTGGACTTTCTCAAAATAAAATCATGTGAAGAAAACGTGTGCAAATCTTTAAAAGACTGTGAAATGGAAAAGTGTTCAGACTCTTGTGCCCATGAGATGGAGTCTGTTGCAGATCATGAACCAAATAAAAGAATATTGGGCAGAGTAAATGTGTCTTTAAGCGATACCCATTATGGACAGCAACATAAAGGAACGTCTCTCAGAGAAACACAAGAAATGACTGAAGGATCAAGACTAGAACTAAACTCTGAGTTTGGCAAAGAAAGTACCTTTGGAATTTCCTCAAAAGAGTTGATATCTTGCCATGATGTAAGCTCTGTTTCCCTAAGAAACCTGAAGTCAGTTGAAATAATGCCTTCTCAAGAAAATTCAGAAACTAATATTAACAGTGAAGAAACTGACCTGAAAAATCTTTGTAAATCAAATGATGGTGAAATGCTTTGTGAAAATGTAAAGGACTGCACAGTCCTTCCTGAGATGAAGGAAAGAGTATCAAGAGATAGGAGTAATTCTAGTGACAGAGACAGCATATGTACCTGTGTGGAAAAGAATGCTTGTAAAGCTTGCCACCCTCACGAGAATTTCTCTGACAGGCATTTGCCTTTGACAGTGAAAACAGAAATTAAAGTGAAAGAAGAAACCGAAGAGCATCAGAGGGGACTACTGGGTGACTTAACTGTTGGGGAGCAATCTGAGGAGATGGTTACCAGAGAAGCTGGCAATGGCGATCATGTGAGCAACATCTCTCAGACCCATGTTACGTGCCAGAGGATACTTAATCATGCTGAAAAACAGCAGAGCCCTGAGGTTTTGGACTACATGTTGCAGAAAGAAGAGGAATATATACATCAACAAAAGGCACATACAGTATCGGAACAATGCATATCATCTAGTCTGTTTTTAGATGATGCACAAAATAAGAACCAAGCCAAGGCTGGCAAAGATAAGTCCACCATGATGAATGAAATCACCCTAGCAAAGCTGGCCAAGGACAACACTGTGGCACAGACTCAGAAGTTAGAAGACCAGAAGGAGGAAAGTTTACATCATCCATTAAAGAAGGACATTGAGTCATGCACAAGTCCTTGCCTTCTTGGTGCCCCTCGGAAAGCAGAGGACCCCTCCTCTGCTGGGTGTGATCAAATACATGGTGCCTTTGCGAAGAAAGGAATGCTTCCCTTAAAGAAGCAGCCCCATCGAACTTGTAAGAAAGTTTCCTATCAGGAGCAAACCATTGTGGGGAGAAAAATAGGTAAAATCAGAAGTTCTGCCTTTTTAAAGAGTTCCTCCAATGCCGTCCCCACAAAAGCGCACAGACTTCTCAGTATGTGCACTCTGTCTGCACCTACACGATTAGAACCTGAAACAGCAGCTACCAAGAGCTTGATTAGTCACATACCAAAGCAGACAGCTACACCGTGCCATCCCTTGAGGAGCCCGAATTTTAGGAAGACTACCAAAGAATCAGCCTTACTAAACAAGCTGTCCATCCTTGCCTCCAAACTGGCCCCAGCCATGAAGATTCAGAAACTAAGATACCGACGGAGTTCCTCTGAACTTCTTCCAATGGCTAAAAGCTACAAGCGCCTCAGATATAAAAGGCTCCTGGATGGATTTTCATCCAACACAGAACAGCTGAATCCATATTTGGCAGCTAGTGGATGGGATAAGAGGCCTAACAGTAAGCCCGTGGCACTTTATTCTCTCGAATCCATCAAGATGACCTTCATAGATTTGAGCAACAAGATGCCGTCCCTGCTGTTTGGTTCTGAAATCTTCCCAGTATCCTTTCATGTAAAATCATCCAGCTCAGATTGCACGCCTGAGTCCTCAAGGACTTTTCCTGAGCACTGTGCTCCGGCAAGGCTTGCCTTAGGAGAGGCCCTCCAGTGCCCGTCTCAACCTCCCAAGTGGACCTTTTCTTTCTTCCTGTCCCACGGTTGCCCTGGGATGGCCACATTCAGGGAAGACACTGGCCTCCATAGTCAGACCCACACTCAGGCTCCTCCCCAGCCTCCAGCTCCTCTCCAAGACTATGGAGGCACTGCCATAGTCCAGACCAGAGCAGACTGCTCTGTCCTTGGCCTTCACACACTTCTAGCACTTTGTTCCCCAGGATGTTACCGAATCTGGACAAAAAAACGGAGCTTCTCCAGCCACATGCCTACCATGCAGAGGCTTTTCATGACCCAGTTTACACAGGGCTTGAAAGGGTTACGGTCTCCAGCCTCCATAGCGGACAAGGTCTTCTGTTCTCTGCCCTACTCGGTGGGCAGAGTCCTATCCATTTGGAGCCAGCATGGGCCTTCTGCCTGCTCCTTCGAAATCTCTTCTCTTCATTCCACTCACTGCAAGCGGCAACCAAGTCTGGGTACCACAAGCAGGTAAAATCTGTCCGCTATTCTTTACAAATGTCCCATATTTGCTTCCTGTCACTGGGGAGATGAGAGGGGAACTGCTGAAAGTGCAAGGCTGTTTAGAGTCCTCTTGGGACTGCATTTTCTATTTACCTTGCCAAATATCTGCCGAGAAAATCCAACAGTAATTCTTAAGCATAGGACCCCCCCACGCCCTGCTCCATTTTCTTGTAGAACCTACTTCTGTATTTCACACCATTCTTTTTTCTGTCCATTTCATTCCTCAAACCATCAAGTCTGTTGAATCTTCTTTTTTTTTTTAATGAGACAGAGATTCGCTCTTGTCACCCAGGATGGAGTGCAATGGTGCAATCTAGGCTCCCTGCAACCTCCGCCTCCCAGGTTCAAGTGATTCTCCTCCCTCAGCCTACTGAGTAGCTGGGATTACAGACATGTACCACTACACCCAGCTAAGTTTTTGTATTTTTTAGTAGAGATAGGGTTTTTCCATGTGGGTCAGGCTGGTCTCGAACTCCTGACCTCAGGTGATCCGCCCGCCTCAGCCTCCCAAAGTGCTGGAATTATATGCATGAGCCACCGCAAGCAGCTTGCTTTTTTTTTTTAATTTTAATTTTTATTTTTATTTTTGAGACAGAGTTTCATTCTTGTCACCCAGGCTGGAATACAGTGGCGCAATCTTGGCTCACCACGACCTCTGATTACATGCATGAGCCATTGCAACCAGCCTGCTTTTGTTTCTTTGAGATGGAGTTTGACTCTGTTGCCCTGGCTGGAGTGCTGTGGCGTGATCTCGGCTCACTGCAAGCTCTGCCTCCCGGGTTCACGCCATTCTCCTGCCTCAGCCTCCCAAGTAGCTGGTAGTACAGGCGCCCGCCACCACGCCCGGCTATATATATATATATATTTTTTTTTTTTTGAGACAGAGTCTCATTCTTGTCACCCAGGCTGGAATGCAGTGGTGCAATCTTGGCTCACCGCGACCTCTGCCTCCCGGGTTCAAGTGATTCTCCTGCCTTAGCCTCCTGAGTAGCTGGGATTACGGGCGCCTGCCACCACGGCTGGCTAATTTTTGTATTTTTATTACAGACGGGGTTTCACCATGTTGGCCAGGCTGGTCTCGAACTCCTGACATCTGGTGAGCCTCTCACCTTGGCCTCCCAAAGTGCTGAGATTACAGGTGCTAGCCACCACGCCCAGCTGAATCTTTTCTACTCTTGCATCCACCTTGCAGAAAACAAACACGCATTACAAGTGAAAGACTATAAATAGTAACACATAATCGCTTGTAACATTATCTCCTTCACAAAGCATTAAACAGCCAGCACCTAACTGTTTGATATATAGAGGACGCAGAATAAATATATTTTTAGTTAATGAATAAATTACATAGGTATCACCAGATCTGGTTTATGAACCCCTGCCTTTCTTTTGGCAATGTAGAGGCTTCAAAAATTGGCATTTACCTACTTCAGTTTTAGGATTTATAGAACTTAAAGTGAACTGGGAAGGAGTTCTTGTGGTGTGATCATTGAGAATAGTTGGAAATAGTTTCATCAATATCATGGTACCTTCCAATTGAAAATAGAGAAAAAAAAGAGAAGAAAAAGTCTAGAGTTAAACTTTCTCAGCTTAAAAATCCCTGGCCGGGTGTGGTGGCTCATATCTGTAATCCCAGCACTTTGGGAGGCCGAGGCGGGCGGATCACGAGGTCAGGAGAACAAGACCATCCTGGCTACGCAGTGAAACCCTGTCTCTATTAAAAATACAAAAAATTAGATGGGCGTGGCAGCAGGCACCTATTGTCCCAGCTACTTGGGAGGCTGAGGCAGGAGAATGGCGTGAACCCGGAAGGCAGAGATTGCAGTGAGCCGAGATCACGCCATTGCACTCCAGCCTGGGCGACAGAACGAGACTCTGTCTCAAAAAAAAAAAAAAAAGAATCCCTAAAAAGCTGCTATAGACATGATAGATAAATCCTCCTCTTTGTAATTATTTAAGTAAACAAAATACTTTTTAATTTGCCCTTACTATTGAATGCTATAGTTGAAAGATTAGATATCAAAAAGCCTTAATATTCCAAATAACTTAGGAGGGCCTTGTTCATTGTGTGTCTCTAACGTAGAATCATTGTGTGTCAGTAAAGTGGGCTGGTTCAGGCGGGATGCAGTGGTTCATGCCTGTAAGCCTAGCACTTTGGGAGGCCAAGGCAGGTGGATCTCTTTAGTCCAAGAGTTTGAGACCAGCCTGGGAAACATGGCAAAACTTTGTCTCTGCAAAAAAATACAAAAATTAGTCAGGCATAGTGGCGTTTGCCTGTAGTCCCAGCTACTCAGAGGCTGAGTCAGGAGGATCCCTTGAACCCAGGAGGCGGGGGTTGCAGTGAGCCGAGATCACGCCACTGCACTCTAGCCTGGGCAACAGAGCAGGATTCCGTCTCCAAAAAAAAAAAAAAATAGGCCAGGCGTGTGGTGGCTCATGCCTATAATCCCAGTACTTTGGGAGGCCAAGGTGGGCAGATCAACTGAGGTCAGAAGTTCCAGACTAGCCTGACCAACATGGAGAAACCCCATCTCTACTAAAAGTACAAAATTAGCCGAGCGTGGTGGCGGATGCCTGAAATCCCAGCTACTCTGGAGGTTGAGGCAGGAGAATCGCTTTAACCTGGGAGGTGGAGGTTGTGCTGAGCCAAGATCACACCATTGCCCTCCAGCCTGGGCAACAAGAGCAAAACTCTGTCTCAAAAAATAAAAAAATAAATCCCATCTCTATTAAAAGTACAAAAATTAGCCAAATGTAGTGGTGCATGCCCATAATCCCTGCTACTCAGAGGCCGAGGCACAAGAATCAGCAGAGGTTGCAGTGAGCCGAGATCTTGCCACTATATTCCAGCCTGGGCGGCAAAGTGAGACTGTGTCTCAAAAAGCAAATTTCAACAACAAAGCTGCTGGTGGCCAGGTGAGGTGGCTTATGCCTATATTCCCAGCACTTTGGGAGGCTGAGGTGGACGAATCAACTGAGGTCAGGAGTTCAAGATCAGGCTAGCCAACATGGTGAAACCTTGCCTCTACTAAAAATATGAAAATTATCCGGATGTGGTGGTTCATGCCTGTAATCCCAGCTACTCAAGAGGCTGAGGCAGGAGAATTGCTTGAACCTGGGAAGCAGAAGTTACGGTTAGCCAAGATTGCACGACTGCACTCCAGCCTGGGCAACAGAGTGAGACTCTGTCTCAAAAATAAATAAATAAATAAACAACAAAGCTGCTGGTTCATATTGTGTAGTTCCCTGAGCATCTTAGCAGAAAACTGAATAAATAGAAGTGTCAGAAAAAAAAAAAAACCCGGAACATGAACATTACTGACTAAAATTAAAAGATGAATTGCTGTTACAAGTACATGTCCTACAGTTTTTTGTTGTTGTTGTTACTGTTTTCCTGAGATGGAGGTTCGCTCTTGTTGCCAGGCTGGAGTGCAGTGGCGCAATCTTGGCTCACCACAACCTCTGCCTCCGAGATTCAAGTGATTCTCCCGCACCAGCCTCCCAAGTAGCTGGAATTGCAGGCCACCACGTCCACCTAATTTTGTGTTTACGGGGTTTCTCCATGTTGGTCAGGCTGATCTTGAACTCCTGACCTCAGGTTATCTGCCCGCCCAGCCTCCCAAAGTGCTGGAATTACAGGCGTGAGCCACCATGCCTGGCCTTTATAGTTATTTTTTGAAGTTCACTTATTATGTCGAGGCGCGGTGGCTCATGCCTGTAATCTCAGCACTTTGGGAGGCTGAGGCAGGCGGATCACAAGGTCAGGAAATCGAGACCATCCTGGCTAACATGATGAAACCCTGTCTCTACTAAAAAAAATACAAAAAAATTAGCCCAGCATGGTGGCAGGCGCCTGTAGTCCCAGCTACTCAGGAGGCTGAGGCAGGAGAATGGCATCAACCTGGGAGGCGGAGCTTGCAGTGAGCCGAGATCGCGCCACTGCACTCCAGCCTGGGCGACAGAGCGGGACTCCGTCTCAAAAAAAAAAAACAGTTCACTTATCATAAGACAACCATGAAAATACATTAGAGTGACTCACGTTGTTTTAAATGCTAGTGTACTGCTTTTATTGTCTACTTTGTTGATATGCCTCTAAAACCTCATAATTGCTCTGCTATGTATTTTTCTTTTCTTTGTTTCTTTTTTCTTTTTTTTTTGAGACAGAGTTTCACTCTTGTCTCCCAGGCTTTAAATTGTGTTAATTCTGGCCAGGTGCCAAGGCTCACACCTGTCATGCCAGCACTTTGGGAGGCTGAGTCAGGTGGAACATGAGATCAGGAGATTGAGACCATCCTGGCTAACATGGTGAAACCCCGTCTCTACTAAAAATACAAAAATTAGCCGGGCGTGGTGGCACCCACCAATAGTCCCATCTACTCAGGAGGCTGAGGCAGGAGAATCATTTGAACCCAGGAAGTGGAGGTTGCAGTGAGCCAAGATCACGCCACTGCACTCCAGCCTGGGCGACAGAGCAAGACTCTATCCCCAAAAAATGCTGCTTTCTCCAAACTATGTCTGTTCCTGAGGTTAGGATAGATGGTAGTTACTCTTTTCCCCCTGTGGAGGTGTAAACTTTTTGCCCCTTTTCGTCTTCCAGCGCTCTTCCTTTCCCACCTGATGTTTCTGTTTCCTGGTGTTGAAAATTTTCTCTGTTTCCCTCCCTATTTCTAGCTTTTTATTTTATTTTACTTTATTTTATTTAAATTCAAATGGAAGGTGGAGGAGGTGGTATTTATGGGTACTTCTCATTGGCTCTAAAAATGCCTTAACACCATGTGCCTGGGCATAGAGTTTAGAAGTTTAGCTGTTTTGGCCGGGCGCGGTGGCTCAAGCCTGTAATCCCAGCACTTTGGGAGGCCGAGACGGGCGGATCACGAGGTCAGGAGATCGAGACGATCCCGGCTAACACGGTGAAACCCCGTCTCTACTAAAAAATACAAAAAACTAGCCGGGCGAGGTGGCGGGCGCCTGTAGTCCCAGCTACTCGGGAGGCTGAGGCAGGAGAATGGCGTAAACCCGGGAGGCGGAGCTTGCAGTGAGCTGAGATCCAGCCACCGCACTCCAGCCTGGGCGACAAAGCAAGACTGCGTCTCAAAAAAAAAAAAAAGGAAGTTTGCTGTTTTTCTTTTCTTTCTTTCTTTTTTTTTTTTGAGGCAGAGTTGCACTCTTGCAGTGTGAAACTCTTGTCTCCCAGGCTGAAGTGCAGTGGTGCGATCCCAGCTCACTGCAACCTCTGCCTCCTGGGTTTAAGTGATTTTCCTGCCTCAGCCTCCTGAATAGTTGGGATTACAGGTATGCACCATCACGCCCGGCTAATTTTGTATTCTTTGTAGAGACAGGGTTTCACCAGATTGGCCAGGCTGGTCTCAAACTCTTGACCTCAGGTGATCCACCCACCTCAGCCTCCCAGAGTACTGGAATTACAGGTTTGAGTCACCGTGCCTGGCCAGAATTTTGCTGTTTTTCTAAACAAGCTTAGAAATGGTTTCTAGCGGGCCGATCACAGTGGCTCATGCCTATAATGTCAACACTTTGGGACACTGAGGTAAGCAGATCACAAAGTCAGGAGTTGGAGACCAGCCTGACCAATATGGTGAAACCCCGTGTCTACGAAAAATACAAAAATTAGTCCGGTGTCGTGGCGGGTGCCTGTAGTCCCAGCTATTCAAGAGGCTGAAGCAGGAGAATCCCTTGAACCCGCGAGGTGGAGGTTGCAGTGAGTTGAGATCATGCCACTGCACTCCAGCTTGGGTGTCAAAGTGAGACTCCATCTCAAAAAAAAAAAAAGTTATAAAGAAATTAACTTTTAACTTTTAATAGGTTTTTTTGTTGTTTTGTTTTTTGCGAGATGGAGTCTTGCTCTGTCTTCCATATTAGAGTGCAGTGGTGTGATCTCGGCTCACTGCAACCTCTGCCTCCCAAGTTCAAGCAATTCTCCTGCCTCACCCTCCCACGTAGTTGAGATTACAGGCATGTGCCATCATGCCCAGCTAGTTTTTGTATTTTTGTAGAGACGGGGTTTCATCATGTTGGCCAGGCTGGTCTTGAACTCCTGACCTCATGTGATCCACCTGCCTCAGCCTCCCCAAAGTGCTGGGATTACAGGCGTGAGCCACCACGGCCGGCCAATAGTTTTCTTCTATATAGCTATGTTGTTTTGTTTAGTTTGGTTTTTGAGACACAGTCTCCCTCTGTCGCCCAGGTTGGAATGCAGTGGTATAATCTCAGCTTACTACAGCCTCTACCTTCCGCATTCAAGCGATTCTCCTGCCTCAGCCTCCTGAGTAGCGAGGATTACAGGCACCCACCACCACACCCAGCTAATTTTTGTACTTTTAGTAGAGATGGGGTTTTGCCATGTTGGCCAGGCTGGTCTTAAACTCCTTGCCTCAAGTGATCTGCCCACCTCAGCCTCCCAAAATGCTGGGATTAGAAGTGTGAGCCACTGTGCCCGGCTGTGTAGCTATGTTTTATGTGTAACTTGGCTTTAAAGAAAATAATTGGGACGGGCACAGTGGCTTGTGCTTATAATCCCAGCACTTGGGGAGGCCGAGGCGGGCAGATCACAAAGTCAGGAGTTCAAGACCAGCCTGGCCAATATGGTGAAAACCCATCTCTACTAAAAATACAAAAATTACCTGGGCATGTTGGCACACTCCTATAGTCCCAGCTACTCGGGAGGCTGAGGCAGAAGAATCTCTTGAACCCGGGAGGAAGAGCTTGCAGTGAGCCAGAATTGCACCATTGCACTCCAGCCTGGGCAACAGAGCGAGACTCAGTCTCAAAAAAATAAAAAGAAAAAGAAAATAATTGGTTTCTCTCTAATATTTTGTAAGGTTATAGAAACTGGCAGATTTTATTTTAATAGAGTCAGTACACAACTGAGTGGTATAATACATTCTTTAAATTTTTATTTATTTATTTTTATTTAGAGATGGGGTCTTGCCCTGTCACTCAGGCTGAAGTGCAGTGGTGCAGTCTTGGATTACTTCGGTCTTGACCTTCTGGGCTCAAGTAGTCTTCTCACCCCAGCCCCCTGAGTAGCTGGTACCACAGGTGCACTCCACCACCCCTGGGTAATTTTTGTATTTTTTGTGGAGACAAGGTCTCGCCGTGTTGCTCAAGCTGGTCTTGAACTCCTAGGCTGAAGCGATCTGCCCACCTCAGCCACCTTGCCCAGCCACTGTTCTTTATTTCTGTCTCCGCTTTCTTTCCATTTAAGTTAGAAAATAATCTTCTGTCAATCTGCCTCCATTCCAGTGATGCGCACATAAATGTAACTCTCCTGGTTGGGAAGCTTTCCTCTTTCTTGGTAACTGACATTTCTTGTCTTCTTGGGGCTATCATGTGCTAATACCCACAATAACGTCAAAACCTTTCCTGTTATCCCACTGTCCTTACTTGTTGCTTTTGTACTTTTACTTTACTTTAGCCACACCATGTTACCATATGTGCCTCTTCCAGGCATGGAAGCTACATATAACACCAGCGGCAGTCAAACAAGGTGAGCACATGAGGCTCAGTGCGTGTGCACATGTGTGTGTGTAAGAGAGTGCATGCATAGGTGGCATGGATCATCTGTGGCATGACTTTGATCTCTTGTCCTTGTAAACCTGATCTGTGTCTCTCAGATAAACATCGCTGAGATTGAAATCTGTTCTATTACAAGCAGCAACTAGGAATTTGTAATCAATACCATTTGTTAAAAAAAAAAAAAAATTGAAAATCGCTAACCAGCTTATTGTACCAGAAGTCACCTCTCAAGCTACTTCATGTTTTATAGCCAACTTCAGTCCCTGGACAGGGTTGATCTCATCTGAGCGCTGTTCATTTGTGTGGATTACCAGATACCTTCCTCACCCAAAAATTCTGTTCCTTTTTACAGTTTTCCTTATAAAACTCCATAGCAATAAAATGAATTACACATTCTTGTAATTTTTTTACATACGTGGTACAGGCTATGTCTGGAAGTGACTAGAAAGCAGGTTGACTGAATATATCATTCCTGGAAAGAAAGAAAAAGTATTGAGGCCTAGATGTTAAGAAGTTGAGGCTGGGTGTAGTGGCTCATGCCTGTAATCCCAGCACTTTGGGAGACCTGGGCAGGCGGATCACCTAAGGTCAGGAGATCGAGACCATCCTGACCAACATGGAGAAACTCTGTCTCTACTAAAAGTACAGAATTAGCTAGGAGTGATGGCACATGCCTGTAATCTCAGCTACTTGCAGGTGCTGAGGCAGGAGAATCGCTTGAACCTGGGAGGCAGAGACTGGCTGCATTGAGCCAAGATTGCACCATTGCATTCCAACCTGGGCAACAAGAGCGAAGCTCCGCCTCAAAAAAAAAAAAAAGAAGAAGTTGAATGTGCTGGAAGTAGAAAGGGAACCCCTCTCATATCTTTCTTCTCTTTCTCTTCATGGTGCTAGGCTGGAGCCTCCATTCCCTGCCTTGGTACCAAAGTCTTGCTTGGTAGCAGAATCAGCTGTCAGCAAGCTCCTGCTTTCAGCCTCTGAGTTCCAGGTTCCTGGATTGGATGAGCTGGATGGTGTGAAAGCAGCATGCCCCTGCCCACAGAGCAGCCCTCCAGAACAGAAAGAGGTAAGTGTAAAGTGCTGGTGGGGTCAGGTGATGGTGGCCATTGTCAACTCACATCACATGGTAACTACAGACTGGCCTCTGAGTATCTTTACATACCACCTTTAGTGTCAGCCAAGTCCTGGAGAGTACTAAGCCAGGAGTTTTTCTCTTCGCCAATAAAGGACACAGTGGACTTTTTAATCTGCACTGTTTTCCAGATACTTTTTTCTTGCCAACAGCATGTAACTGTTCAGAGAATTGGACCAAAGAGCTGCTTTGTGCGTTCAAAGAGATGAGTGGATGGTGATGATGTTCAATTTTGCAACCTCTATTGTCTTCGATAGTTGCAAACTTTCATGTTGACAGTTCAATATCTGAACTGAATGTACGATTCTTGTTTTGATGATATGAAGGGAGTAGTTGCTTAAAACACAGCAGGGACCGGGCACAGTGGCTTACGCCTGTAATCTCAGCACTTTGGGAGGCTGAGGTGGGTGGATCGCTTGAGTCCAGGAGTTCAATAGAAGCCTGGGCAACCTGGCGAAACCGTGTCTCTACAAAAAATACAAAAATTAGCTGACCGTGGTGGTGCACACTTGTAGTCCCAGTTACTTGGGAGGCTGAGGAGGGAGAATTGCTTGAGCCCAGTAGGTGGAGGTTGCAGCAATGAGCCCCGATTGCATCACTGCACTCCAGCCTAAGTGACAGAGTGAAATCCCATCTTAAAAAAAAAAAAAAGGCCGGGCACGGTGGCTCAAGCCTGTAATCCCCCCAGCACTTTGGGAGGTCGAGACCATCCCGGCTAACCTGGTGAAACCCCGTCTCTACTAAAAAATACAAAAAAAAACTGGTCGGGCGCAGTGGCTCAAGCCTGTAATCCCAGCACTTTGGGAGGCCAAGATGGGCGGATCACGAGGTCAGGAGATCGAGACCATCCTGGCTAACGGCGAAACCCCGTCTCTACTAAAAAATATAAAAAAAAAAACTAGCTGGGCGAGGTGGCGGGCGCCTGTAGTCCCAGCTACTCGGGAGGCTGAGGCAGGAGAATGGCGTAAACCTGGGAGGCGGAGCTTGCAGTGAGCTGAGATCTGGCCACTGCACTCCAGCCTGGGCGACAGGGCGAGACTCTGTCTCAAAAAAAAAAAAAAAAAATGCCGGGCACAGTGGCTCGTGCCTGTGATCCCAACACTTTGGGAGGCTGAGGTGGGTGGATCACCTGGGGTAAGGAGTTCGGGACCAACCTGGCCAGCATGGTGAAACCCCATCTCTACTAAAATTACAAAAATTAGCCAAATGTGGTGGTACATGCCTGTAATCCCAGCTACTCTGGAGGCTGAGGCGGTAGAATCACTTGAACCCAGGAGGTGGAGGTTGTAGTGAGCCTGGATTGTGCCACTGCACTCCAGCCTGGGTGACAGAGTGAGACTGTGTCTCAAAAAATAAACAAGGCCAGATGCGGTGGCTCACATCTGTAATCCTAGCACTTTGGGAGGCCGAGGTGGGCAGATCACCTGAGGTTGGGAGTTTGAGACCAGCCTGACCAACATGGAGAAACCCTGTCTCTACGAAAAATAAAAAATTAGCTGGGCGCGGTGGCGCATGCCTGTAATTCCAGCTACTCAGGAGACTGAGGCAGAAGAATCACTTGAACCCAGGAGTCAGAGGTTGCAGTGAACCAAGACCATGTCATTGCACTTCAGCCTGGCAACAAGAGCAAAACTCTTGTCTTAAAAAATAAATAATAAAATTAAAAACCAGCAGGTATAGGAGTGGGAGCTTTGTCATAAACTACTTACTAGAATCATCTCTAAAGTGAGGTAGCAATGTCTTTAGGTGCCAAGCCAAGGGACTTTATATTTTAAAATGTCTTACAATATGCCAGGGGTGATGGCATGCACCTATAGTCCTAGCTACCACAGAGGCTGAGGCAAAAAGATCACTTGAGCCCAGGAGTTCCTGAGCAGCCTGAGCAATATAGCAAGACCCCATCTAAAAGTAAACATTGCCAGTTACGGTGGCTTATACTTGTAAATCCAGTGCTTTGGGAGGCCAAGGCAGGATGATCATTTGAGTTCAGGAGTTCAAGGCTGCAGTGAGCTATGATTGCACCACTGGGCCACAGAGTGAGACCTTGTCTCAAAAAATACATAAATAAATAAAATGTCTTACAATGTGACCATCTTTCTTCTTAATCCTTAAAAATAGGCTGAGCCAGAGAAGAGGCCAAAGAAAGTCTCACAGATTCGCATCCGGAAAACTATTCCTAGACCAGATCCTAATCTTACCCCCATGGGCCTTCCTCGACCCAAAAGGTGAGCTCCTTCTCTATTACAAGCTAGGTTCACTTTTTTGGAAAATTGTTTGTCATAATATAATTACCCTTTAAATGGTCCTACACTCTGAGAGCCATTTATTACATTTCTAGGAATTTACCCTAAAGAATTAATTAGTACTGTCGCTAGATATTTATATGCAAGGACATTTTAATATAATGCGTACATAATCTTAATCCTCCAGTGTTGCGATGAGGAACCTGTGTTAGGTTGTAGCATTGATCCTGGCACATGTGGTTTCTGTCTGTCACAGGATTTACCCAACCCCAGAGCTCAAGCTCCTAAATACTCTGCACTAAACTGGAAAAGGACCTAAAAGTCCTGAGTTTAGTTTTTCTTAAAAAAGATCTCCAGACTTATATTTTCTTCTGATTGATTTTGCTCCTCCATTTCTTATCAGCAAATGGAAGCCTAACAGTGGTCTCTCAGGAACTTCCCTGTAAAATATGAATAAGAATTCCCAACACTTAAGATTTCTATACAGGGCCGGGCGTGATGGCTCATGCCTGTAATCCCAGCGCTTTGGGAGACTGAGGCGGGTGGATCACAAGGTCAGGAGTTTGAGATCAGCCTGGCCAACATGGAGAAACCCATCTCTACTAAAAATGCAAAATAAGCTGGGTGTGGTGGCATGCGCCAGTAATCCCAGCTACTCAGGAGGCTGAGGCAGGAGAATCGCTTGAACTCGGGAGGTGGAGGTTGCGGTGAGCCAAGATCGTGCCGTTGCCCTCCAGCCTAGGCAACAAGAGTGAAACTCCATCTCAAAAAAAAACAAAAAGAAGATTTCTATACAGTGTAATTGAGAAAAGAATGTGTACTACTTCATCCATTATAGTGCTTCACACAACACGAATAAAATAAATAATCATTTGTTAGGATCATGATTGATGTTCCACTTCTGCACCATAATCTTTATCTTAATATGTTGTATTTTTGTCTTAATGGTTCTTTTGTTGATCTATTGTATGTCTTTTCAAGAGAAATTTTTAAAATATTTCAGATATCCGAGATCCAAGATTGAGTAGTATTTATTACTCAAATGAAAAAGGATTCATTATCAGTTGTATTCTCTCTTGCATTTGTATGTCTGAAGAACCTTGTTTACGTAAATAAGTAGTTGGGAGAGGAAGGAGTTTTAATACAATAAAGTCATTCAATTATTTCCACTTCTTTCAAGTTATATGCCAGAAAATCACAGTGATCTAGCATTATATTTAATGAAAACTAAAGATTGAAAAGCACTCAGTCATAAAGGTTCTGTTACCCAGGAATTAGTGGCAGTTACTGTCTCAGTGTCTGAACAGACCAAGAAAGGTCCAGTAAATGTCAAATGCCAGATCCTCTTTCACTTAGAGGTACTTTATTCATTCCAATATACTGAAAGAGGGTTGAGAAGAATAAAATTTTTAATAAATCTTTGCCTAAACTTAGGATGTCTTTTGATAAAATGCTTTTAATCAAATGTACTTTTGTAAAAAAAGAAAAAATCCCTTGAAGCTGCAGATTTTAGTACATTAAGTTTATGGAAGAGCCTGGGCATATAATTTAATTGGTGGAAGCAATTTATTATTTAAGCCCATCAAGCAAATCATTCTTCCTGACTTTTCTGTTTTCCAATTCAAGTAAATATGTTAATTTATCCTTTTAAGAAAATGATATAGGCCAGGCGCGGTGGCTTAAGCCTGTAATCCCAGCACTTTGGGAGGCTGAGACAGGCGGATCACGAGGTCAGGAGATTGAGACCATCCTGGCTAACACGGTGAAACCCGTCTCTACTTAAAAAAATACAAAAAACTAGCCGGGCGAGGTGGTGGGCGCCTGTAGTCCCAGCTACTCGGGAGGCTGAGGCAGGAAAATGATGTGAACCCGGGAGGCAGAGCTTGCAGTGAGCTGAGATCCGGCCACGGCACTCCAGCCTGGGCAACAGAGCGAGACTCCGTCTCAAAAAAAGAAAAAAAGAAAATGATATAAAACACCGAGAAATAAATTATGTAGTACAAATGGTAAGGTATTTTTCTAAAAGTCTTAAAGTCATAATTTATCCATTTCAATAATGCAGGTTGACTATCTCTTATTCAAATTATTGGGACCAAAAATGTTTCAGACTTCACATTTTTTCAGATTTTGGAATATTTGCATTATACTTACCAGCATCCCTCATCTGAAAATCCCAAATGCTCCAGTAAGCATTCCCTTTGAACGTGACCTTTGAGCATCATGTTGGCGCTCAGAAAGTTTCAGATGTTGGAGCATTTCAGATTTTGGATTTTCAGGTTATGGATGCTCTTAATAACCCAATAATGCCAACCTGTGCATTACTAAAACAACATGACGCCAGGAGCGGTGGCTCATGCCTGTAATCCCAACACTTTGAGAGGCTGAGGTGGGTGGATCATTTGAGGTCGGAAGTTTGAGACCAGCCTGGCCAACATGGTGAAACCCCATCTCGACTAAAAATACAAAAATTAGCCAGGCGGTAGTGGCACGCGCCTGTATTCCCAGCTACTCAGGAGGCTGAGGCAGGAGAGTCACTTGAACCCGGGAGGCGGAGGTTGCAGTGAGCTGAGGTCACAGCACTGCACTCCAGCCTGGACTGGGATCTCAAAAAAACATTTCTCATTACTGAATTTATAATAAAGCATTGTAAATTTTGAAGTGAGGAGTATGGTAGAAAGCATGATAATTGCTTTAGTAAATGTGTATGCGTACATGAACTAAACTCTAGTATTAGACTTTTAAGAATGATTCACAATTATTGTAAAAATCAGAACTAAATCTATTAATTTATATAAGTCTCAATGATTGCTCTTTTTTTTTTTTTTTTCTTTTGAGATACAGTTTTGCTCTTGTTGCCCAGGCGGGAGTGAGCCACCAAGCCCAGCCTGCTTTTATATTTAATATAAGAGAAAAGTATATTGGACAAACCAATTGGCAGGGCAGTTTATCACATATATTTTGATTTTTTTTTTTTTTTGAGACGGAGTCTCGCTCTGTCGCCCGGGCTGGAGTGCAGTGGCCGGATCTCAGTTCACTGCAAGTTCCACCTCCCGGGTTTACGCCATTCTCCTGCCTCAGCCTCCCGAGTAGCTGGGACTACAGGCGCCCGCCACCTCTCCTGGCTAGTTTTTTTTTGTATTTTTTAGTAGAGACGGGGTTTCACCGTGTTAGCCAGGATGGTCTCGATCTCCTGACCTCGTGATCCCCTGTCTCGGCCTTCCCAAAGTGTGGGATTTACAGGCTTTGGAACCACCCGCGGCCCGTGCCTGTGAATATTGGTTAATGGGAATAGAAGTTATTAACATCTTTGGGCCCGGGGCATGAACTAGCTCAGGCCTGTAATCCCAGCACTTTGGGCAGCACCTGTAGAGAGGGCCAAGGCGGTATATCATCCTGAGGGTCAGGAGTTCGGAGGACCAGTCCTGGCCAACATGGGTGAAACCCTGTCTTACTAAAAATACAAAAATGCTGGGCGGTGGGTAGCAGGCACCTTAATCCAGGTACTCATTGAGGCTGAGGCCGGAAATCGGCTTGAACCCGGGAGGTGGAGGTTGCAGTGAGCCATGATTTGAGCCACTCTGTCTCAAAAAAAAAAAAAAATTACAACATCTTATAGGATCAGATCAGAAGGGACTGACTACTTGAATTAAATATTTATAGTATGAATTGATAAAAGTTCATGCGTTAACCAAAGGAAATTACTTAAATTTTTTCTGTGGGTTTTGTGCACTTCAAGTATTTGATAGTCCCAGTAAAACATTTATATATATAGGTAGATATATTTTGTTTGTTTTGTGACAAGGTCTCGCTCTGTCGCCCAGGCTGGAGTGTAGAGGCATGATCATGGCTCACTGCAGCTTCAACTTCCTGGGCTCAGGTAATCCTCCTACCTCAGCCTCGTGAGTAGCTGGGACTACCAGCGTGTGCTACCATGCCCAGCTAATTTTTGTATTTCTGGTAGAGATGGGATTTTGCCATGTTCCCCAGGCTGGTCTTGAACTCCCAGGCTCAAGTGATCTGGCCACCTCCACCTCCCAAAGTGCTCAGATTACTGGTGTCAGCCATTGTGCCCATCCCATGAATATGTTGAGTGGAACTTTTCTAAGTGATGACATATTGTTGATAAGAAGTGAGAATAGCTAGAAAAAATTTTGTATATAATTAAATACATGAACAAGCTATTTTTAGTGTTTGAAGCTCTCTTTCCTAAATAAGGTCTTTTTCTTAAGTAGACATTATTTGATGATAATCGAGGTGAACAAAACAAAGTCACTCTGACAACTCCTTTCCATGAGATACCTGAAATCAAGTGTGTTAACACTGGCCCAAATACTCAATTTCTTCTTTTTTTTTTTTTTTTGAGACAGAGTATCACTGTGTTGCCCAGGCTGGAGTGTAGTGGTGCAATTTTGGCTCACTGCAACCTCTGCCTCCCAGGTACAAGCGATTCTTCTGCCTCGGCCCCCTGAGTAGCTGGTATTACAGGCACATGCCACCACACCCAGCTAATTTTTGTATTTTTAGTAGAGACAAGGTTTCACTGTGTTGGCCAAATTGGTCTGGAACTCCTGACCTCATGTGATCTACCTGCCTTGGCCTCCCAAAGTTCTGGGATTACAGGCATGAGCCACTGTGCTCGGCCCCAAATACCCAATCTCTAAAGGCACTGTTCTCTCTTAACTGAATAATGTATAGTAAAGGAAAAGAAAAGCCCAAGACAAGTTTATGGTGATTTCATTAATCACTGGAAAGGGCTTAGCAAAATGAGTGATTTGATTGATGTATCAAAGTAGAATTCAGGATGGATAGGAGCTGTTCTGAGAGAATTTGTGGGAACAGAGAGACCTGCAAGAGCAATTCAGGACACTTCTCAGGTGTATCACTTTTAGAATAAATCAGAGATTGAGCCAGGCATGGTAGTTCACACCTGTAATCCCAACACTTTGGGTGGCCAAGGTGGAAGGATCACTTGAGCCCAGGAG